GGGCGAGGAGCTGCGCCGAGGTACAAGCGCACCACGGCAGGAGGGGCACTGGCGAGGCACCAGCCTGCCGCGTCTGCCGAAGCTCGTGCCCTACGCCTACTACAGCTGCGCGTAAGTGATGTCCAGCTGGCCCAGGTGAGACGACCTCACCAGGCCGCGCAGGCATGGGCTCACCTCTATTCCTTCCTCGCTCAAGAAGGTAAAGAAGGCAGGATGAGGAACACACATCTCCCCTCCCGTCACAGCTGTGCTCACGTATCTACTGCACACAGCCGCCCAACAGCCTGCCCTTCAACAGCATTTGCCTGGGCTAGCGCCATCCTACCTCGGACGGGCTGCCGCTGTCATTGAAAGAAGGATGGCTACGACTCGGGCCCGCTCTTTCACAAAATGGATCCGACAGCACTTGAGGCGGCGATCCTGACCCATACACCGTTGGTCGAAACCTCGTGACTGGACAATATCCCAGGTGGACACCGCTTTGGGACCTTCGAGCGCCTCTGAGGACATATGTCGGGTTCAACGGCAGTCTTGGAAGGACGTTTGGGTCGGGTGTGACGACGAACCCTCCCTCCTCACCCAGAGCATCCATGACGACGGCGATGGGGACCTCATTGTCGAAATGCGAGACCTATGTCAGACTGGCCCACGTATGCCTCCATTGAGCATTGGGGCCCTTTCGGCAAGCCGCTCGGAGCTTCTCGGGACGCACGGCCCTAGGGCCAGACCAGTTCAGACCTCGACATTGGGCTTTGGCCTCCAACGGGGCCCTGGCTGTCTTGGGATACCTACTACATCTATGTGAGGCCTTTGGAACATGGCCCACGTGCACTGGACGGGCACACATCATTCTACTGGGCAAACCGACGGGTGGTTACCGACCTATTACGTTGCGCCCATCAATTTACCGAGTATGGGCCCACGCCCGACTGGCTTGGGTCAGGGCATGAGCATCCCGTTTAGACCGCCAATATCTTGCACTTGGCTCGCAGCGATCAACTACCGACGTTGCAGCTCGTGCGATGGTAACAGCAGAGACAGGTGGACACCTGCGGCCAGAGCCGCAGGCACCAGTGCATGCGATCGCTGATGTAGCAAAGTGTTTCGACAAGGTGTCGTGGCTATGGCTGCTGCGCGCGGGGATTCAGCAAGGCTTTCCTGGGCCACTCCTCCTCCTCGCATTTAGGATATACATGTCCAGCAGGCGTTTGGTATGGGACAATTGCTACTCGGACGTTGTGTATGCGCAGTGTGGGGTACTACCAGGATGCTCGATGGCCATGTTTGCGTTGCAGTGTATAATGATCGCCCCTTCGATCACCTCACACGCACAACTATGGACATACCACGTAGCATCGACGTGTATGCTGATGACATTACAGTACACGTATATGGCGTACTACGACACATCAGTTCATGGTCCCAGAGGGTTCTTCGGACGCTGGTGTATACACTCAAGGCCCTAGGGCCCCCTCCAGCTGCCCACAAGATGAGGCTCACTAGTTCCATTCCTGCGTTGGGAAAACACGTGGTCTACCAGCTACGGGATCTTGGGCACGTTTACGCGGAGGCTTTGGAGGTTCTTGGAATCGAAGTCTCGGGACGCCCTATGCGCTACAGTAGGCTTCGACAACGTGTGAGGGGTGTGGCCAGTCGTCGGCCGCGCTTTATCTCACTGCACAGGGCTGGTCCTCTCCTCAGTCGTTTCCACAAGCAGGCTCTCCCACCAGCCTTGACCTACGGGTTAGGCGTGCATGGAGCCCCCCCCCCCCCCCCACACACGACTCGTTGAACAAATGCGGCAGGCGCAGCGAGGCGCATGGCACGCCCCAGGCTCCAGCACATCGTGTTGGATCACGTCGTGCCTTCAGGGATCCATTTACACTGACCCCCAGGTAGAGGCCTGGGCCGCGCCTGTGTACCAGTGGTCCATGTTGTTTCGCGATCCGCAGGTGCCCCACTGTGTCTTGCAGTCAGCATGGCTTCGCCAGATCCAGAAGATCTATCATTATCCTCACCCGTGGCGCCACGTGTCGGGACCCGCTGGAGCCACAGTGCTTGCACGACGAGAGCTCGGATGGGCCACCATCAGCAGCGCTGTTTGGAAGACGGACCGAGAGGTTCGTATCAATATTCGTGATGAGGCGCCGTCCAGCATCCGTCAGCTTGCTAGAGATGCTGGAGTGCGTCGACTATGGGAAAAATGGGCCCGACGGCCACCCCTTCCAGGACACGACGCCATTCTTCGGGAGCCCATTGGATACTGGATAGAGCCAATACTACAGATCCTATCCAAGGTTGAACTACAAGATGGTGACGACTCTGGGGGTGACGACGAGCCTGGTGATCCCGACCGCTTGGATGATGCAGGTCCGACCCCGCCCCCTGTTGGACCCAACCCTTTTGCTGACAAGTGGAAACCCTCCCTCAAAGAAGCGGGCCTTTTACGTGCTTACTCGGGAGGCGGACTCTGGAGCCCATCAAGGCTTGCGAAGTGTGGTTACAGGGACACAGACACACGCCCTCGGTGTATGGCGGCATCAGGTGATTTGTATCATTTCGTGCACGAGTGTCCAGCACTGCATGCGCAGCGTCAGATACACATGTTTCACATTCGTACGGAGGGGCTCCCTAGGCAGGTGCGGGACTCTATGTTATGGTCGACAGGACTCGTCTCTCGCTCATGCTTCCCACCCTTGCCACCACGGGACAGCACTGGGCACTGGCACGTACTATATGGCGACCCGCAAGGTATCACAGGTAAAGTATACACGGACGGCGCATGTCAGCGTATGTGGTACTGGCTTGAGGCTACACGTGCAGGCTGGGGTTTCTGTCAGTTGAGTGAGCCGCCGCCAGGGGTAGATATTCTTGCTTTTGGGGCCCTCCCAGGCCCCATACAGACCTCGCCCAGGGCCGAGCTTTACGCTTTCCTCCAGGTCCTCCAGGTCTGCCCCCCCCGTTTGTGTGCACACCGATTTCAAAGGCTTGGTTGATGGCCTTGCCCTTGGAGCCCGTTGGCGCTGCTCGCCTCGGCGTTTGAACGCTGATCTCTGGGAACGCATTTGGGCCAAGATGTCTGATCTGGGTGAGGTGGGGTCTGGTGTGAGAGTTACCCTAGTCAGAGGACACCAGCAGGGACAGAGCACCGACGCCCGCGGCAATCGGCGGGCTGACCTTGCTGCGCGCAACGGCAGAGACCTCCACTCCATCCCCAGAATACAGGTCAAAGCTATGAAGCTTGGCCACCAACATTACACTCGCATCCTGCGTTGGAGCACTACCGCCCTGGGACTTTTCTTTGGCGAACAGCGGGTGGACACGCGGCCCCGCGCGAAATGCCGACGCCCTCGGCGTTCCTCGGCCCCACTGGAGCCCAGGGAGGAATCGGCTCACCTGCGCCATGTTTTTACCCAGGCCCCCCATCGCAGCATTTGGAGATGTGAGTTTTGTAGAAAGGGCTCGAAGCTGGAAAGGACCCGTCGTCGTCTCTCGGAGCTTGCCTGCCCTGCTCGTTTGCGCGCTGCCGCCGCCATCCATCGGCACCCCGCCTCTGTCAACCCACCTGGGCACGCTGCGCGCGCCCAGGCTGACAATGAAGGGCAGATGCCGACGTATGAGGGCAGCAGTTTCGGTGCTGCTGTGCGTCCTCGCTCCCCCTCGGACTCGTTTCGTTCGGTTCGCCCTCGGACGGAGTCCCCCACGCGTGGCCTGGAGCGCGACCAAGGGGAGGCGGATCCCCCCCCTCCGTCCTCGGGCCTGGGGAGCCCTTCCTTGCCTCGCCCTCGTAGCCCCTCCCCTGGCTTTGAAAGGCGCGTCAGGCCACGCGCGGGCTTCGAGCCCGTCGCTGCGGCATGGGATGGAGCTGCGAGTGTCCAGGCCGAAGCCACTGCCAGGGTTCTCTCTTTTCCAGAGCGCTCGGGGCCCACCTTCCTCCCCGACAAGCGGAGGCGGATCGGCTCCAAGCGCCCAAGTAGGCCCTCTTTGGCCGACACGACAGTACCAGCCGAGCCTATGCCAGGAGCGGGCCCCGTTCCTGCCACGGCCGCTCGCGGCCACCGCCTCTGGGTTTCCTCGGGCCATGTTTGTTGGTGCGTTTCCTGTGGGGTTTTTACGACGGGCACGGCTGGTCACCTTCTAATTGATTGCCCGTCGGGAAGCGCGCACCGTCTGTCTGAACGGGCGGTGCGCAACCGACGCCTTTTCATGCAGGGTTTTCATCCTGCGGACGAAGGAATGGAGGGCCCACGTCGAGTTCCCGCACCTCGTCCGCTTCTTGTCTCAGACCCTGAGGCTCACTGGGTCAGGCTCCACGGGAGCCCACCTTCTAACCCTGGCTGCGGGGCTTAACCCCCGTTTCTTTTGTTTGTGTGGCTGGTACCCGAGATCCTCTTGGTGGGGTCCCAGCCTCCTCACAGGCCTGCCAGGCTGCCAGCAGCTTGGCGCCCTTGGTGGCGCTCGTGCACAGCGCGACGCTTCCCTCGGCAGTGCCGTATCCTCCTCCTCCTCCTCCTCCTCCTCCTCCTCCTCCTCCTCCTCCTCCTCCTCCTCCCCCCCCTCCTCCTCCTCCTCTTCTCCTCCTACCCCTAACCCTCCTCTCTTCTTCTTCCTCCTCCTCCTCTTTCTCCTCCCCCTCCTCCTCCCCCTCCTCTCCTCTCCTCCTCCTCCTCCTCTTCCACCTCCTCCTCCTCCTCCTCCTCCTCCTCCTCCCTCCTCCTCATCATCATCATCATCATCATCATCATCATCATCATCATCCTCATCCCTCATCCTCCTACTCCTCCTCCTCCTCCTCCTTCTCCTCCTCCTCCTCCTCCTGTTCGTCCTCATCCTCGTCCTCGTCCTCGTCCTCCTCCTGCTCCTCCTCCTCCTCCTCCTCCTCCTCTCCTCATCCTCCTCCTCCTCCTCCTCCTCCTGATCGTCCTCGTCCTCGTCCTCGTCCTCCTCCTCCTCCTCCTCCTCCTCCTCCTCCTCCTCCTCCTCCCCCCATCCCGGCGGGCCTGCGCGACCCGCGCGACCATAAGGGGCGGAAGCCCCGTGGGGACCACGGGCCCGGCGAGCTCACCGCCCGTCGCTTCGGAGCCCTGGCGGCGGCGAGGGCACGCCTCCACCTCCTTCGTGTCCTTTTCATCGTCCTCGTCCTTGCCCACGTCCTCGAACTCCCCCTCGTCCTCCTCCTCCTCTTCCTTCTCTTCCTCCTCCTCCTCCGCCTCCTCGTCCTTCTCCTCCTCTTCCCTTATGATGACGATGTGATTACTATTATCGTTGCGAGTATTATAATTGTTATGTGTGTTAATAGTATTAGTAGTACGAGTAGTCGTAGCATTAGTATTTGTATTTGTATCAGCAGTATGAGGATTATGACTAGCACTATTGGTGCGATTAATATGAGCATTACCAGTACTAGTAGTGTTCGCGCGATTATTGTTATTACTAGTAGTCTTATCGATACTAATACTAATATTAGTAGTACGAGTATGAGCACTATTGTTAGTGCTAGTGTTACTATTAGTCATATTATTATTCCTCGTAGAATTATATTCGTCGATATTAGTATGAACAGTATGGTTATCAGCATTCGCATCATCGTTGTAAACATCCATAGTGTTATTATCAGCAGCATCATCATACCATTCCTCAGTATTAGTACGAGTACGATTACTAGTATTAGCAGTACGATTATCATCAACACTAATAGTGTGTGTTGTCTTGTTGTTGCTGAGTTTGTTGTTCGTGCTATTAGTAGTATACTCTTCTTCGTCGTCTTACGATTGTTATTCTTCATGTGTCTATCATTACTCGTTGTATCAGAATCATAGTAATATCCATATTAGCCGTATTAGTATTCCGAGTAGCGTTATCAGTAGCATTCGCATGTGCATTAGCAGCGTTACTTATCATTCGTATTATTCTTCTTATTCCAATTAGTGTCCTGAGCAATACGATCACTAATTATTAGGTGTGCTTCGTATTATTGTTCATTACAGTACGATTACTATGGTTGTGATTATTAGTATTGCTAGTATTACGTATACTTGTTGCATTATTATTAGTACTCGCATTAATGCTCTCATTTTCTCATTAATAACATTTTTCTTATTGTTAATACTATGCTTATTAATTGTCTTGTTCTGCCTTCTCCTCCTATTCCTCCTCCCCCTCTTTCTCCTCCTCCTCCTCCTCCTCTTCCTCCTCCTTTTCCTCCTCCTCCTCCCCCTCCTCCTCCCCCGCATCCTCATCCACCTTCTCCTCCACAATTACGCAATATGAATACTACTCCCCTCTGTCCCCATGTTGACGACCGGAAGATGTTCGGCCCCCCTCCTCGTATTTTTTAACCGTGTTACACAAGATTCCCGGGAGTTGGGTGTTCGCTTCGTTGTTTTTCAAATAGGTTGCTCCCGCTGAAGCGCTGGCCTCATTGTCGGGCTTCCGCTCGTTCCGAATCGTGCTCCCGCTGCAGCGCTGGCCTCATTTCCGCGTTTCCGCTCGTTCCGAGTCGTGCTCCCGCTGCATCCCTGGCCTCATTTCCGCGCGTCCGCTCGTTCCGAATCCTGCTCCCGCTGCAGCGCTGGCGTCATTGTTTCCAGTGCCATGCCACGGCATTCAATGCAATGCAATGTGGTGCTCCGCTGTGCGATGCCATGCCTTCAGCTGCAATGCCAGGATATGCAGCGGTTGACTGCGCAGTGCCACGCCATGCTATGCCACGCTGCGCTTTGATCTTCAACGCCATGCTACGCCATAGTCTGTTCTGTGCCGCTGTGCGATGCCATGATTTGCGTTGCAACGTTTTGTGATGCACTTCTTCACTACACAAAGCCACGCCTCGCTATAACATAATTACTACGCTCTGCCGTGCTCTCCTACGCCCTGCTACACCGTGCTCTACGATGCATCGCGCACCATCTCGGGATCATTGCCGTGCTCGACATCGGACTGTGCCAATCGAGAGGAGATCTACGCCATGGTAAGGGATGGGAGGGGGGTAGGACGTCAGAAATGACGCAAGCACACCTAGCTTGTCCTCTGCCTCCTCCTCCTCCTCCTCCTCCTCCTTCTCCTCCTCCTCCGCCTCCTCCGCCTCCTCCTTGTTCTTCTCCTCCTCCTCCTCCTCCTCCTCCTTCTCCTCCTCCTCCTCCTCCCCGTCCTCCTCCTCCTCCTCCTCGTCCTCCTCGTCCTCCTCCTTCTCCTCCTCCTTCCTCCTCCTCCTCCTTCCCTCCTCCTCCTGCACATCCTCCTCCTCCTCCTCCTCTTCCTCCTCCTCTTCCTCCTCCTCCTTCTCCTCCTCCCCCTCCTCCTCTTCCTCGACACTTACACAATATGAATACTACTCCCCGCTCTCCCCTGATGACGTCTGGAAGATGTCCAGCCCCCCTCCGCGTATGTTTTTTTACAAACAGGATTCCCGGGAGTTGGGTGTTCGCTTGGTTGTTTTTCAAATAGGTTGCTCCCGCTGAAGCGCTGGCCTCATTTTCGGGCTTCCGTTCGTTCCGAATCGTGCTCCCGCTGCAGCGCTGGTCTCATTTCCGCGCTCCCGCTCGTTCGGGATCGCACTCCCGCTGCAGCGCTGGCCTTCCTGCAAATCAGCCCCAAAATCTAAAAAATGGCCTCCCGAAAAAAACATCGTAAGTGCTTACTCCTTCGGTGTCGATTCGTTCATTTTGGGGGCCACAGAAGACCCCCGTGTTGGGGCGTCGTCGCTTAAGGAAGTATCAAGCGGGAACCATGTTTCTGCTGTGAGACAGCGATGTTGGAAGCAGAGCCAGCGGGTGCTTTCCATCAGCCCCGCCTTTGTGTGGAATGTGTTCGGGGAGCCCGAAGAGCTAGGCATGGAGCCAAAACTCCAGACCAGCCCAGACCTCTCGAAGATGATCCACTTAATACCCTCCAAAGACCCTGGCGCATGCCATGACATGTTGTGCGGTGTTGTGTTTTGCGCCGCTGTGCGATGCCATGTTTTGCGTTGCAATGCGTTGTGATGCAAGCTCCACTGCGCAATGCCACGCCATGCTATGGCATGCTACGCTCTGCCGTGCTCTTCTACGCCATGCCATGCCGTGCTCTACCATGCATCGCGCACCCTCTCGCGATCACTGCCCTGCTCGACATCCGAATATGCGAATATAGAGTGGGCCTACGCCATGGTAAGGGGTGGGAGGGAAGTGTAGGATGTCAGATATGACGCGAGCGCACCTAGCTTGTCCCCTCCCCTCCCCCCCCCTCCCCCTCCCCCTTCCCCATCACCCATCCCCCATCCCCCATCCCCGATCCCCCATGCCCCATCCCCCATCCCTCATCCCCACTCCCCTCATACCCCCCCTTTCCCCCTTCCCCCTCCCCCATTTCCCCTCCCCCTCGCCCCCTCCCCTTCTCCCCTTCCCCTTCCCCCTCCCACCCTCCCCTGCCCCCTCCCCCATCTCCCGCCCCCGTCCCCCCCCCAGCCCCCCCCCCCCCCTCCTCTCCCCCCTCCCGTCCCCCTTCCCCTCCCCCTCACTCTTGCGCCTCGCGTCCTCCTCCTCCTCATCATCCTTGTGCTTCTCCTCCTTTTCGCATTCTCAATATCACTATTTAGAGTGTGTGATGTTAGTATTACTAGGTAGTACCACTGTACCACTACTACACTACTACGACGAGCAACTACTAACTACTACTACTACTGATACTACTAGACTCTACGACTACTAGTACTACTACTAACTACACTACTACTACTACTACTACTACTCTACTACTAATACTATACTACTTCTACTTTACTACTTACTACTACTACTACTACTACTACTACTACTACTACTACTACTACTACTACTACTACTAACTACTACTACTACCACTACTACATACTATACTAATACTACTACTACTACTAACGACTACTACTACTACTAACTACTACTACTACTACTACTACTACTACTACTACTACTACTACTACTGACTGCGACGACTACTACTACATGAAAGAAAAAACTTAAAAAACTACTACTAACTACTAGTACTAGTAGTAGTCAGTAGTCGTCGCAAGTAGTAGTAGTAGTAGTAAGTAGTAGTAGATAGTAGTAGTAGTGGTTGTAGTAGTAAGTAGTAGTAGTAGTAGTTAGTAGTAGTAGTAGTAGTGGTGGTGGTGGTGGTGGTGGTGGTGGTGGTGGTAGAGGTAGTAGTAGTAGTAGTAGTAGTAGTAGTAGTAGTAGTAGTAGTAGTAGTAGTGGTAGTAGTAGTAGTAGTAGAAGCAGTAGTAGTAGCAGTAGCAGCAGTGGTAGTAATAGTAGTAGTAGTAGTAGTAGTAGTAGTAGTAATAGTAGTAGGAATAGCATTCGCATTATTATTATTGGTGTTACTAGTTTGTTATTGATTGTAATAATGCGATCATTAACAGTAGTAGTAGCAGTAGTAGTAGCAGCAGCAATAGTAGTAGCAGTATTATGCTTATCCGTATTAGTGTCATTATTATCAATAATACTTTTACTACTATTATTATGCGTGTTCGTCGCATTCGCCTTCTTATAAGCGGTATTGGTAGTCGCCGTCGGACGAGCATCCATGTTCCTACTGTTATTACGATTTGTGGTATTGATACTACTGGCGCTAGTTGCTCATGGTTGCTAATCTTACGTATGGTAATATCAATGGTAGCACCATTGTTGCTGCTACGTTTCGCATTATTGCTAGCATTAGTAATGATAGTTGCGCGTTGGTGCTCGTATAAACATGAAAAATATTCGTTGTTTTAGTCGTGGTGCTACTACGCTCACTACCAGTATCGTTCTTATTCGTATTATTACGACTACCAATACTACGAATTGCGGCGGTATGATTACCATTCGCCGTAATATTTGCATGGCTCGGATACTATTATTACTCGCACTAAAACTATTATCAGTAGTAGTCGTGTTAATCATATGTTCAGTGCAATCCCACCAGCCCTTTAGGGCGTGAGTGGTTTAGATCGTCCTCTCTGTTCTCGACCCCCTTTTTCCCTTCGGGGAGGGGTTTACCACTGTTCCCTATTAATAAACACCCCCTCCCCCAGGCGACCGGGGGCCAACCCATGTCCATGACGACACCCCCCCCACAATCC